AGTGGCTCGGTGGTTTAGTGGTATAATACTCCCTTAGGGTGGGAGTGGTCCCGGGTTCGATTCCCGGCCGAGCCCATCACTTTTTCATATTTTTATGTATTTTCCATCTTTATTGCGGGACTTAAAATGATTTGATAGGAACATTAAGGCAATTAGGCTGTTCCATTTTAATTTTCTATTTGGCAATTTCGAATTGGGGTTTGTTATATAGGTGAGGTTCGATCAGGTCGTATAATCCAATAATCTCTTGATGAGACTGGCAATACAGCCGGGTTGAATTTTACCAATTCTTTAAAGGATTGATTAGCTAGGGGTACAGTGTAGCCCATAATTAAGTCAAATAAGCTGTAAAAATATACTGGGACGGATATAGTTGTGAAATTTGGGGCAACTTTGTGTATTCCTCCTCTTCTTCCTCAAGCCTACTACTTATTTTCCAACCCTCACTCTATTAATTAGTGCGTTTGCATCACGCGTAGGACATGACCCTTTCCTTCTTAAAGTCTATTTAGCGATAACAAACTTTCTACCAGCCAGTACTCATTTCCAATGGGCCTTGACCTTGATGACTTAAAAGCCCACTGTCGGCGCATCGTCCAGAAGGCCGACCTTACGTAAGTAGCTGAGCAACTCATTGGTCCATCTCATTGGGCACTGTGAGTCGACAACCTATTATACACCTGATATAGCCCATGGGCCACATTCCAGAACAGTGTTTCGTACCCTTCTAGCGACGACCAGAATTGCTCACATTCCCTAAATGTGCGCACGCGTGCCATTTTATGTTGTCCATTCCTAAAAAAAAAACTGCCATATGCCCACATCGTTCGTTTTGCACGTGGTTCGGAATTGTATGGTGTCAATAGGACTACGGGTGAAAAGAAAATTCGACGTCAACTTGAGACTCAGCTTGACTTAGAATCCAAGGCGCTGGACGCGGCCCCTTATAAGAGCCTTCTGAGCGACTATATCCAGGAACTCGTGGTAGGTTATACGTGTTTCTAAAGGCGTGTCTTTTTTTATTGAATGGCACGCTGCCGATACATACACAAGTTATATCTAGCGTAAAACCTACGATCTATATATACTGGTACTAATGAGCCACATTCAAGGTATGATTGGTGTTGTTATGGCGCCAAAGACAGAAAAACTAGCGGCGGAGCAAGACCAGTCTCCTCCAACAAGTCCCACCGATTCAAAATCCGATGAGGCTTCCAGCATCGAGTCAGCCTCACCTAGCAAGAGCGTGCAAACAGAAACGCATAACTCTCGCTCGTCAAACCCACCGCCCGAATCGGGATCCGATGGCGATTTGTCGTCTGTAGAAGAAGAACCCCCTCCGAAAAAGCAGCGGAAAGCCGCCTCCCCCAATAAGGCGCCAGTGGCCAAGCGGAAACCTAAGCAAGCCAGTGCACCCGCCAGCGATGCTGACCAGGTATGGCCTCGATTCACTCAGCCATGGGTGCTTTTGGCGGTCTTTTTCCCATAGAAACCGTCGTTTTCGACTTTACTGCTTAAATAGGGGAAACTGCCTCTTTTCGACAATCTAACAGGTGTCCATCCCCGGTATATTTTCTATTTGGACTGTGCTCATCCCTTAGGAACGTATTAAGAATCTCAAGTCGTATTTTACCAAATGTGGCGTGCGTAAGGTTTGGTAAGTCCGGCCCACGCTATTAATATGGATGTTGCAACCATTCATTCGGTAATTTTAAGTGCAAGAAGATGACCTGACCCCAACTCCCACTATCTCGCATTCTAATTTATCCGATTTTATTGCCGTACATACCTTATTTAGGTCTCGTGAATTAACCAATCTGAGTCCTAAACAGCAAATACAGAAGTTGAAGCAAATGCTAACTGAGCTAGGTGTGGAAGGTAATTGGCCCTGCGGCTCTATTATATTGCCTAGGGGGTGAATGATTCAAAGTTAGTTCCTTACCGGCGATTCTCAAAAAGCACTCTCAATACTAACACGCCTGTGTGGATATACTTACCGACCCCGATTCCGAACTGTGGATGTTTACATCCCCCCGAATTAACTAATTGGTTATTCGGTGGCCGGCGATTGTTCATCTCTAGGCCGCCCGACCATCGAAAAATGCAAAAAGATAGCTATGCAAAGAGAGCTCCAGGCGGAGTTCGAAAGTAAGTCAAACCCATGGGCTAGTGAACTCCGATACTGTAGCATCGACCACCTTCACTGTTTCCTACATTTTTGGATTACTGCTATTTGCGTTTACCGTATTATTGGTGGAAGACAGTCCATTTATTTATTCGGTCAATCTTGTATAGGAGACATAGTTTGCCTCTCTTCTACGCAACTGCTCAACACCGTTCTTTACCATTGTATTTGTTGATATTGACAGGCGTGTCGCAAAATGACATTATAGAGGACGCTGGTTTCAATCGGCCTACCCGCTCTAGCCGCCAGGCCGCCCCAAGCCGACGTCTCGTACGGAAGTCAGAGGTAGGTTTGAGCGATACAACCGCCATGTTATGATACTATATGTCCACTATTCCCCGTTGGTATAATCCACTCTATTTTTGTACGATTGCCATATCCACCCAGCTAATGCCGATATTTCACCACCCATATATATTCAAATTTACAACACATAGGACCCGGCACCAGAGGCCATTGATTTCTCGTTTTTAGGGGGGGACGTTGAATAGAATCGCCATTTGACCATGTTATTAAATGGGTATACCCCCGATTTCTTTTTTTTATAGATAGCAACCCGAAGCCATAAATAGTTTTAGCATAGCCCATTGGGGTCAATAATAAATGAATAAACCACTATTTATATATACTAATTTTACGGACGATTACCGCCCAGAATTATACAACTTCAGAACATGCGGGTCTTACATTTGAGGACACTGGACTTGGCTTAGTTATGGAAATATTCATGCTTAGCAGCTTAATAGTCTATAAAGAGGCATGGGTGTGCCTATCTTAGGACTGCCTTATAATTTCAGGGCATTAGGCGACCCTTCCCCCACTCTACTTGCACCCAGTTGTATAAATCGTAAATAATAAGGCTCCAGCAAGCCACAATGCAAAGACCCAAAGAGCCATACCTATATCGCCACTCCAAGGAGTAGGCAGGTATTGGCAATATCTCCCATGATATATCCGTGGCATCTGTAAAGCTGTTCTCTCGGGAAACACACTACCAACCAATTCATGGTCAATAGTTGTACTCCACTCCATAGGAAATAGGGGAGACCGTCTCCATCTTAACCCCACCAACGACCCTGCTCATTACTTCGCCTTCTTCTGCCTCTATCCTAAATTCCCCGTCATCCCGTTTGGAGTAGCTGTTACGTATTCTTTATCCGAAAGCCTCCTTACTTTACTCTTTCTCTCTTTCTCCCATTGTTGGCCATGTCATCATCCGTCGCCAGTCAGATTTCGAGCATTGGCCAAGTGGTCCGCTCCCACATCGTCAATGTTCTCCGCAAAGGTAAACCCTCTCCTCTTTTCTTGGGCCAATTCCGTGGATGCCATTCGGGGTAGGAATAATTCCCCGGGCCCTGCCAGTGTCCAGGGTGGTTTTGAGAGGTTTGTCAGCTAAGATTAGGGCCGAATAGCGACCCTCCCCATGTCGTAGTCTCAACGCATCTGCAGGGCCGAATGAAGCTAATCTAAGGGCCTTGCTATAACTAACCCGGCCGCATGGCCTTTCTTTCAGGTATCGGTTTAGCCTACACCGACTTTCGCCGATTTTCTCACCGCTTTACTGCTATGTTTATTTATCCCACCTGGTAGGCGAGAACTTCGAGCTTCGTTCCGAACTCAATAGTGAATACCGGGACCGCCGCAAGGAGGCCGTCAAACGGGTCATTGCCAATATGACCGTTGGCAAGGACGTCAGCGGCCTCTTTACAGACGTACTCAAGAACATGCACACGGACGACTTGGAAATCAAGAAACTCATCTACCTCTACCTAATCAACTATGCCAAGACCAAGCCGGAATTGGTGATTCTGGCGATTAATACTTTCGTCAAGGACACCGATGACAATAACCCCCTTATCCGGGCCTTGGCCATCCGTACTATGGGGTGCCTCCGGGTTTCGGAAATTATCGACTATCTCTGCGATCCCCTCCGCAAGTGTCTTAAGGTACAGTGAGTGGGTCACCCAGTGTGAAATGGTTTCCAACCGCTAGTCACCTTTCTAATCAGTGGAATGGCGTCTAGGGACCCTCGCCCCTTATTTATTTTGAGGACAATCGGGATGATGGCTAACTCTCCTCCACCCCATATTTACCTATCAACCCCCCCCCCATTATCTAGGATGAAAGCCCTTATGTCCGCAAGACGGCGGCTATTTGCGTGGCTAAACTTTACGACGTGGCTCCAGCCGTTACCATTGAGAACGGTTTTGTCGAGGCCGTCCAAGACCTCTTGTCCGACGCCAACCCTATGGTTATTTCGAATGCCGTGACCGCCTTGGTCGAAATCAACGACAACTCTCCCAATCAGGATGTCTTCACCATGACCCCTCCCCTAGTCAACAAACTACTCGCTGCCCTCAATGAATGTACTGAATGGGGCCAAATCACCATCCTGGAAACGGTCGCCAACTACATCCCAGGATCCACCCGTGAGGCGGAGGGCGTCTGCGAACGGGTAGTGCCTCGCCTGCAACATGTTAACGGCAGCGTCGTTCTGTCCGCCATCAAGGTGCTACTGAAGTACTTCAGCTACATCAAAAATCCCGAGATGGAGGCCCAGCTGTCTCGTAAGATGACCCCGCCCCTGGTCACCCTGCTCTCGTCCGCCCCCGAGGTCCAGTACGTGGCCCTGCGCAACATCAACCTGATCCTTCAGAAGCGGCCCGACATTCTCAACCGGGAAATGCGGGTCTTCTTCTGCAAGTACAACGACCCACTGTACGTTAAATACGAGAAGCTCGATATCATGGTTCGACTGTGCAACGACCGTAATTACGACCACCTGCTGGCCGAATTAAAGGAGTACGCCAACGAAGTAGACGTGGACTTTGTGCGTAAGGCCATCAAGGCCATCGGTTACTGCGCTATTAAGATCCCCGTTGCTGCCGAG